CCTTTACTACAAAATATAACTATTTCCCAGAATAACCGTGGTAGTGAGATGGTGGAGCTTTTTACAGTTTTACATTTTTGCAGGTCTCTTTCTTGTATGTCTCATTAGAAGACCACTGGATTTTCAAGTTTGCTTCTGCGTTTAATCCCTTATTTTGATTGAAGACTACAAAGAGGCTCACACATATGTAGGAGTATTATTTTTAATAACCTTTTCACATAATTGTGGAATGTTCCTCTTTGATACAAAACTAAAACTACACAAGTTGTAGTTTCTCAAAGGTTATTTGCAAAGTGGACCTGAAACAATATAATTGAATATTTCCTATTCTGTTACATTAAAATCCATAGGCCTATCTTGCACACTGATTGTCTCTTGTACTGATGAACGATGTTTTTTAGCAGATACATTGTTTGACTGAGTTATACAATCTTCCAGTGTCTATGTATTTAATCAAAGTTATCAAAAAATCATCATATATGATCATATTACCACAGATGCCAACAGAGGAGTTAACCTAACGGGAAGCTGACAGCTTATGCGATGAATCACTAGTTTTCCAAAGTTCTGGGTGGCAGTCTCAACTCTCAGTTTATTTTCCTGAAGGAAGAAAATCTTCCTCACTTCATTTTTGAGAAAGTGGATGGCAGTTAACCAAGTCTAAATAATTATAGTTTCTCTGTCATTTATTCTTTTTCTTTTTACTGTTATTTTTATTTATTTATTTTCATGTTTCATTTCTAAATTTTTTTGGGGGGAGTAGGCGATTAGGTTTTATTTATTTATGGGACTTAAACCCAGGACTTCCTGCATGCTAAGCAAGCACTCTACCACTGAGCTATACCCGCCCCCCCAACTCATCCTTTCAAGTAAAAATAGTATTTCAGGAAAAAGGAGGCTAGCTCAGCTCACATACAGTATTTTCCCTGGGACATAGGACTTCAGAATGTGGCAGAAGTGTTGTTTTATGTGTGCTTCCCATGTCATCATATAAGGTATTTTTAAAATGTGAATTTAATGATGATGATTTAGGACAGATAGTTTTTAATGCTCCAAGAAGGACGTTTAAAAACAAACCTTTTTTTTTTCTACACGTGAGTTGTGATGGAAGATAATTCCTATTGCAGTTTGCTGCCAGAAGTCTCCATTATTACTAAACTTTACCTCAATGAAATGTCAACATAGAGTAAAGGCAAATAATGTGTCAGCGACTCTATGAAAATAGTTTTGAACTGATGGATCCTGTGAAAGGGTCTCAGTGACTTCAAGGGTTCCACAGACCACACTTTGAGAACTGCTGTTCTGAATAAACCAAGGACAGTCTCCCAGCTGGTCCCCACTTTCGCCTCTTGTTCATGTCCCAGAATCCCTCTCTCTGAGCTGGAAACTCCCTGCCTCCCCAAACCTAGCTGAAAGCTCTGCCCCTGGGCTCCCTTAGGAGAAAACCCACTTCCTGGAAAAGAATAACAGAGAGAGTCCTCAGTCTGGGAAGGGCGGTGGAAGGACAGGTAACACCACTCTGGAACTGGAAACAGTCTGGGCCCGAAGGCACCAGACTCACTCATAACCTATTTTGGGTTTGTTATACACCAGCTTAATATGTATTCATATCCCAGACAGAAGTCTGCAATAGTTTCTCAGAGAAATAACATTGGCCCTTTCATCTCACGTGGGTCTAATGCATCTGAGGTGAGGCCCACAAAGCATGGAGAGCAGTCCTGTCCAACAGAACGTTCTGTGATGGAGAAATTGATCTATGTCTGTGCTCTCCACTGTGGTAGCCACTAGCTACATGTGGCACCTCAGAAATCACTATTGTGCTGAGCACCTTTAATTTCATTTATTTTATTTAAATAACCATATGCTGATAGTATCTTGCATATGGGATAGTGCATATCCAGAATGTTCTTAAAATTGTCTGTTCCCCAAAAA